TGCAGTACAAGATCCACACTGCAGTAGGTTCTTTAGAGAGGGGTAACCAGGGTCCCCTGGAAGACATCTAGGGAGCCCAGTCCGTAGTGCTTACCTAATATGCTGCTGCAGGAGGCTTGGGATGTGTCCTCTGCCTTGGCTACAGGGATTACACACCTTAGATTCACCTGACCAGCCACTCTGCTGTAGGCCACAGCATGGGCAACTTGTGTCTTCTGAGTCGGGGGCACATGCCTCCCCCCCCAGCAACCAGTCAGTGACCGGGGGGGGCTGTGGCTGGTTGCACCAACCCAGAAGCATGAGCAGCACTCCCAGAGGTGCCAGCAGTGCTTCTCTTGGTGCCTCCACTCCCTGGCTGGCGCTCGCAGGGGGGGCACTGGCACTCCTGCCTACCCCCCGCTCGTCATCTATTTGGGGAGCACTGGCTTTCAGGGGGTGCACCAGTGCTCTCAGGGTGCACCTCCTACGCCTCGCCACTGGGCCTTAGCATCAACTAGCAGCCAGTCCCAAAGCCAAGAGTAACTTCCAGCTGGTTTTGCTGCCATTGAAGTCAACAGAGATTTTTGCCGTTGGTGTTTGTGGAAACAGAACTGGGCTTGGAAACAAGCCCTGTGTACTGGGATAGGTTCCTCAGTGGTGTCTATGGTAACACCTGCTGGGCCCTATTAAGAGGGAGATGGGGGCCAAGGTCTGTGACCTTGTTCTCCTGTCTGGTCCTGGGAATAGTCTATCCTCCAGGCAGGGCGTGCTCCTGTCTGTCCTCAGTGGCTCTGCACAGAGCATCTAACCCTGGTGTGGTTTCAGCGGTACCTGGACGAGGCAGAGCGGGAGAAGCAGCAGTACATGAAGGAGTTGCGGGAATACCAGCAGTCAGAGGCCTACAAGATGTGCACGGAGAAGATCCAGGAGAAGAAGATCAAGAAAGGTCAGTGCTGCTGGGCACAAGGAATAATGGGGTTGTTCCCCTTCTTGGGGCTGTATGTTGGTGGCAGTGGGGCTAGATGAGTAACCCGTGACTCCTTTCTGCCCCTAGAGGATGCTGGCTCTGTAGCTGTGAACACCCTCCTGAATGGCCACCCACACAAGGTAAGGCCCTGAAGGGATGGAGGCACAGAGGACACTCAGTAGAGTACGTGAGGTGGAGTACTGGCCCCTGCAGAGGAATGTGACTTGGCCATTGGTTTGGGGAGGCCTCAGCTCTGCCCAGGGGACAGGTCTCCCCAACACATCCCCTGCGCAGACTAAGCTGCCACCCTATCTGATTGGTTCTGGTCAGTCTGTGCTGGAGCACAGACCATGTCGTCCTTGCCTTGCATCCTCCACTCGTGGTGCTGTTGGCTCCATCTGTGTACTGTCACCCGAGCCCTTCTAACTGCCCTCAAGCTTCTGTCTTATGGGTTTTCAAGTCTGTGGCACCCTTTCCAGCTCAGGGAAGTGGAGGATCAGCATGTCCCAGCATGTCTGGGGACTCCCCCGTGCAAAGGGGAGCTCAGGTTGGAGCCCTCCCACCCAGCAACTCTCCCTATCTGACCCTTCTTGGTTGCTGGACACTCACCCAATCTCCTGGCCAGGTGGGGGAATGCGGCAGTGATGGCTTTTCCACGTTTGATGTGCCGATCTTCACAGAGGAGTTCTTGGACCAGAACAAAGGTACTGAACCAAGAAAAAGGGGCCTCACCCTTTGGGACTGGGGCAGTCTGCCATTCTCCATGTACACAGTCCCTGGCTCACGGGCCCTAGGGGGTTGGCTGTGGAGGGAG